TCAAGCCTTTAAGACCCCAGACACTATATCTTTTGATAGCCAGTCACCATCAGCTTTCTTCACCGCATTTGCTTATGCACCCATTTGTCTTCAGTGATCATATTGGGAAGGTGGGCACCCACTGATATGATTTTTTGTTCTTTGATGTCTGATACTACCTGGTTCCTCTGATACTTTGTGGTCACACAAGCTGGTGTGCTTCTTCCATGTGGGTTTTGATAATAAAATGATTTTTAAGAAAACAATAAAGAAGTCTTTTGTAGGTTTTCCCAAAAAAAAAAAAAATTAAGTTGCCGCAGATGGAGTTCTCTTACTCACTCACACACTGCCATCAAGTCTATGTCCCCACTCGTAGGGACCTGATAGGACAGGGCAGAACTGGCCTTGTGGATTTCCAAGCGCAGGTCTACTCTGGCCTATGGGGTCATCATGAGTCAGTGTCTATGAGATCCAGCGAAGTGGTGTTTTTGTTGTTGTTTTCATCTTTAAGACTTTTTTAGTAGAGTCTGGGACTTAAGGGATCATCCTTTCTCTTCCGTGAGGGCATAAAAAACAAACCACACCTCTGTCAAAACTATTCCTCAGGATAGAAGAGCCATCTGGGATAGCAAGATCCTTGGAAGAGAGACCGGTCCCTGGAGGAAATCATCATGCTGTTAAAGTCGAGGGGCAGTGAAAAGAGGAAGGCCCATGACAAGATGAGATGGATGGGCCCAGTGGCTGCCACACCGGGCTCAGACATGGAGACAGTGGTGAGGATGGCGCAGGACCGGGAGGTGTCTCCTTCTGTGGCACTCAGGTCACTTGGAGCTGACAACAAGACACCCAGCAACATTATGCAGCTGGAAGGTGGTGTCCGGGAGTTGTCTTCAGTTTTAAATGAGAAGCTGGCCTCAGGGCAGTAATCTTGGGGGTGCCTCCTATCTCATTTAGATCAATTTTTTTCTTTTTTAAAATTATACTCTATAAAACGTTATGTTTATTTTTAACCTATTCTAGCAGGTACCTTTTGTGGTGGTCTTGGTTATTGTGGCTGGTAGTGGTCGAGGGCGGGCACCATCTAGTTCTTCTGGTCTCGGGTTGGAAGAGGCTGTGCTCTGTGTGGGTCCTTGGTCCTTTGCAGTAGTCTCTTCATTGATGGCTGCTCAAAAGCTTTTCAGGCCCCAGATGTTATTCACCAGGACTAAGATGTGGAACATTTTGAATTGTGTTTTGCCAATTGATCTAGATGCCCTTTGTAGACTATGAATGGTCCTTAACCTTCAAGTCTAGTGGTCCAGCCCTGACGCCTAAATAGTGGCATGTTGTGCTGTTAGATTAGTCAATGTTGCTGTTGTTTAGTATTAGGCTTGCCACAAAGTAATAAACTGAGGCCAAGCCAGAGAGAAGGAAAGGAGAAGTTTATCCTATGCTCCCGGGGCGAGATTACCACCTGCCGGAGACCAGCTCCGGAGTGTTCCTAACAGAAAGCTGAAGTTGGGTGAGTGGTCTTGAGAAAAAAGAGAATATAGAAAAGTAGGGTTCAGGAGGACCAAAGAAACATTCTGAAGCGTGAATGTATGCAATGACACTTTATTAAAAGCTGTATTTTCTTTTATAGCCCATTTCTTGGCTCCTTCTGGGATAACAGCCAAGTCCATCAACAAAGACACCTGGACTTTGCAGTCACGTCCTTGCAAGTCAAGCTTAAGCAAAATAGTTTGTTCTAACACATCTTAGCAGATCCAAGAAGCCAAGTTATTTTGCTAAATACAGAAGTTCATTTATAGTTCATACAGCTCCCATGAGAACTTTTAACTAAGGGTGAAGTCCCACTCTTTATACCCATTAGGCCGGTTAGGATAGGGTTTGCACCCTCTCCATTCCCTAAGACCATGGGGAAGAAATGGGAAATCACCCTACAACCACCTCCAGCTAGGAGTCGGTGAAGTCCCGCTGCCCAGGAGGGAGGGGAGAGCAGAGAAAGGGATGGAGCCCTGAGCTCCTGGGTGAGGTCCCCAGGTCCCCAGTGGGGGGCCTGAGAAATCGTGCCCATCTGTGGTGAAGAGCAAGTTTTTAAGCTGATCAGGAGGGGAAACAAGAAGGGAGGGGGCAGGAGCTGCAGCTGCAGGGGCTGAAGCTGTCTCCATCAGTGAAATTCCGAGGTAGAGTGGTGCCTTGATCGTTCCGCCTGATACTGAGGAGACGGCTCACTGTCCTGGAGCCCTTTTGAAGCTAGCCATCTCGGTCAGTCCAATAAGGGCAGGTCAGGCTGTTTCTAATGCCCCCAACCTGTGCCTGACCCAACAGTCAGGTGCTGTGGAGTTGATTCCCAACTCATGGCACCCTGTAGTGCAGTGAATTATGACCGAATGGAAACATGCAAACAGGGTGTATAGAACTTGGTCCATTTTCCCATCCCACTGCGTATAAAAGGAGTCTCAGTATCAGGAACAGGACTCTCACAACCATCAAGAAAGAAGAGCTGGGTCACCGGGGTCGCAAGTGAGGGGTAGATGTGCGGATGTCAGAGGCTGGAGGTTAGACGGGGGTTACCGTGGATGAAGCGGAAGGCAATATCCAAGAGGGAGATGAGTGAAAAAAGAGAGGAAACAGGGCAAGGCCTTGAGAGGTTGGATAAGTTGTTGGATATGAAAATGATGAGCTCTTCTGTAAACCTCCACCCTGATTCACACATTTTTTAAAAGCGGTTTCTTTTTAACTAAAAGAATAAAACTTAAAATAAAAACAGAGCCAGGGATGGAGTACATCCTGGGGGAGGCGCTGAGGGACAAGACCTTGGCAAAGGGGAAGCTCCTCAATCCAGGATGCGGGTGTGGCATCAGAGGAGTGACTGGTAAGCCGCCGCTGCAGCAGCAGAGCCAGAGCACCCGACAGAGCAAGGAGGTTCTAGTGCACATAGGATCACGGTGAGTTGGCCCTGAGGGTGTCAGCCATTTAGAGCAGCCGACCCTACGGTCTGTCCCACCTTGGTGCGGCCCACTCCCTGCTGACAAGGACAGCAGTTTGTTTCCCTGAAGGAGAGCCCAGAGACAAGGTCAAGCCCACTCAAGGACGACCAAAGTTAGGCTGCCTTCTTGAATCTAGGATCCGCCCATCTTGTCACATGTGTACCCCTAGTCCCTCCCCTTCCTATTGTGTGGGCACCCCTAGCTCATCCCCTTCCTGTCACGCTTATGCTCATTGGACAGCCTCTTCCTGTTACAATATGGTTACCGGTAATCAGAGAGGGCTTGCCCGCCCCTAAGTGTATATAAGCCTTGGTTAGAAATCTATTCTTTCTCCCTGCACGGACCTGGCTGCTGAGATCATGGCCGTCCCGGAGGTGACCATGTTACCATGATGTGTCTGACTCCTTTATTGTACCCTCTCTCCTATCCCTCCTGTTCTCTATGACTTTACTATAATCTTTATATGATAGCCGTACAATTGTGCCTACGGACCCTGCGGTTGTCATAGGCGGGTTTGCTCTGACAGGCACCAACTCCCCTGCACCTGACAACAATAACAAAAACGGATGAAGTGAACCAAAACGTGCATGAACTGCTGCATGGAAAACGATGCTCTCATCTTGTAAACTTTCACTTAATTCACAATAAAAAATAAAACAGGTTTATCTCTTTGGAAACAGGGTCACTGAGTTCGACTTGGAAGCAACGAGTGCATGCAGCATTTGCAAACATGTATGTAGAACTAGCCAGCGCCATACAGGTGTATGCATTACATTGGGAAAATCTGCTGCAAGGGACCTCTTTGAAGCCACATAGTAGTCTAGGTCTGAAGCTCTGCTTTCTGATGGCAGGTCTGGAGAAGGGGACGCAGGCGCCAACCCCAGAAGGTATCTAGAAGCAGCCCCTGAAACCGCCCAAAAAGCAGACCATGGAAATGGCCCGGGAGGATAAAGCACTCAAGCCGGGACCAAAAAGCACAGAAGCAGCTCAAGGAGCCAAAAGCAAAGGCCGCAGGGACGGGATCCTGACTGTGATAGTTATGCAATCGTTTGTCAATTTGAGGATTAAGAGTGTAGGGGTGGAGTCTAGCCTGTCAATCAGAACACAGTCAGTGCGGTTTGTGTGGGCATGTCCTTCCCCTGAGGGTTCTGGGAAAACTCTGGAATTACCTCCTTGGAGACTGGAGACAGTCTCTCCTTTGGTTCACTCCCTAAGATGGCACTGTACTGACAAGACCTGACAAGGCTCTCTTCCTGTGAGACATCCGGAGGAGAAGCCGCATGGACCTACCCTGATGCAGTCCTGGAAGTTGGAGAAGCCACGTGGAGACCCCCTGCCAGCGCTGTGATGCTTATAACGCCACTGGATTCCAAGACTTTCTGCCCTTCTCACTCCAGCCGTTCCTATCAGCTGAGTTGTTGTTAAGTGCTGTCTGGCCATTTCGGACTTACAGCGACCGTGTGTGCAACAGAACAAAACGCTGCCCAGTCCTGCCTGTGAGGCTGGACAGTGAATAAGAAAGGCCAAAAACTCGATTTGAATTATCATCTTGACAAAGGATGTTAATATGCCTGCAGAACAGAGGAACCCGTCTTTGAAGCAGCATAGGCCAGAAGGCGCATTAGGAGTGAGAATGGCCAAATTCTCATCGCATATATTTTGGACATATCATTGGGGGAGACCCCAAGGACTGCATGGTTGGTAAAAAGTCAGCAAAAAAAAAAAAGAGGAAGATCCTCAGTAAATGAACTGACACAGTGACTGCAACAATGGGCTCGAACGCAGCAACCACATGCAGGTGGCGCAGTTTTCTTTCCTAAGGTCACTGAGTTAGAACCATCTGGAAGGCACTCGACAACATATGTACAAGGAGGTACCCACGCTCCCAAAAACCCAGAATTGCACTGGGTGGAATGGAGATTTTGTAGTACACAGTTTTCCCGCTAGGTGTGCAAGGAGGAACTCGCTCTGAGTTACTGCACCCAGTGGCATCACCTAGGAAGGTTCTCTCTGGTCACAGTGAATTTTTTAATAAAAGCAGATTTGCTCAAACCTCATTTTTCATGATGACCAATTTAAGAGGACAGCGGATAGCTGTGAAATTTTGTTTCCTGCTCAGGAAAAATGGCGCAGAAACTGTTGTGATGTTGAACACAGCTTATAAGAACAACACTGTGGGAAAATTTCAAGTGTATGAATGGTTTTCTCATTTCAAAAAAAGATGTAATGTTGATAGATGACAAACCTTGTTCTGGATGTCTGCCAGATTCCTGAACAGATGAAAATGCCAACTCGTAGTGCATTTGGGGTTCATTTCACCAGGTCAGACTGTTAATTAAGAGCAGTGGTTCTCAACCTATGGGTCGTGACCCCTTTGGGGGGCCAAACGACCCTTTCACAGGGGTCACCCAATTCATAACAGTAGTAAAATTACAGTTATGAAGTAGCAATGAAAATAATTTTATGGTTGGGGGTCACCCCAACATGAGGAACTGTATTAAAGGGTCACAGCATTAGGAAAGTTGAGACCCACTGGTTTAGAGGTTGTGAAAATAATGCAGAATGGGGAAGGAGGGGGAAAAAATGAGGAGCTGATGCCAGGGACTTAGGTGGAGAGCAAATGTTTTGAGAATGATGAGGGCAATGAATGTACAAATGTGCTTTACACAATTGATGTATGTATGGATTGTGATGAGTTGTATGAGCCCCTAATAAAATGATTTAAAAAAAACTAAAAAACCAAAAAATATATTGCAGAATGGTGTGTGACAAAAAGGCCTGATGTGTGGCAGACGGAGGACTGGTTTTGCCACAACCATGCACCTGCTCGCACAGTCATCTCAGTGTACCGGTTTCTGGCAAAAACAGCATGCCTCCCCTGCCCCACACACTTTACTCACCTGACCTCGCTCTGTGCAACTTTTCATTTCCACGTGACTTGAGAAGGTAGACGAGGTGAAGAAAAAAACCGTGGAAGGTGCTGTTAGACATCCAAACAGATGAGTTTGAAGAATGTTTCCAAGAATGGAATTGCAGGTTTGACAAATGCATTAAGTATCATGGAGATTACTTTGAAGGTGATAAGGTTGTTTTGTTTTTTTAAAAAAATTTAAATATATAGCTTTGAAAAAAAATTGTTTGTGGGGCATCCCTCCTCATACCAGCCGCATTCCCATTTGCCTCCCACACCTATCCAGGGTAGAATTACCTATGTGTCTGCTCACAGGTTATTGTTCATGTCTATGGCTGTTGCAGAATTCTATGCTATGTAGCATTGATCATAGTCTTGTTTCCTTCCTATCTCTCCAATTTCTTCTGTTACCTCGCTCATGTTGCACTGGCATCCTCCCTGTTGTGTAATGACTTTCCTGTCACCAGAATTATCTCCTGCCTACTCCCTACATAGTGTTTCTCTCCCCCACTCCCTGATCACCCACCAACGAATGCCTGACTTTCAGGATGATCACCTCATACATTCTGTCTTTTGGGTTTGACTTATTCCACAATGTCCTGCATATTCATCTGTGTTGTGAGATGCTTTATGGATTCCTCATTGTTTGTTTGTTTGCTTGTTTCGCTGTGGAGTATTCCTTCTTACATATGTATCAATGTAAGAAGACACTTTTTGTGGTTGCTATTTTGTATAAGACCGCAAGGAATACAAGGTGTGCCTATGTCTATCTATGTCTATTCATGTCACAGCTTTTTGCTGGAGATACACACCTAGGAGGGGGGTGGTTGGATGGATACCCAAACCCACTGCCAATGAGTCGATGCTTTGCTGGGTTTCTGAGGCTGTAATTCATTTGTCTTTCTTTAGGCTGTAATTCTTTATGAAAGCAGTGAGCCTCCTCTTTCTCCTGCAGTGGTTGGTGGGTTTGAACATCTGACTTTATGGTTAGTAGGCTGACATTGACCCAGCTGTCTGGTATTTCTGTTTTGAGCTTTTGAAGGAAATGTCACACAGCAAACCTCACTAGCATTTACTGTTCTTGATGGCTCTCCTTTTGGGTGGGAGTGTAACACACTTTCCCCCAGTACTAGCACTGCCGGCCAGAAACCACTGTTTTGGCAAAGATCCCCTTGAGAGAAAACGAAGCTGAGTCATCTCTGGCCGGCCTTGTGGCTCCCGCTTTGGAACCCAGAGTCCAGGAAGGACAGATTAAAGTCTTTATTAGCCTCATCTCAAATATAAAATCAGAGCCTCCCCAGTTCATCACTGAGAGAGAGATCTAGGGTAAGAATCACACTGCTAGCCTAAAAAGAACCGGCTCACATTTGTCTCCTGCCCAGTCCCTGCCCCCACACCCTAGTCTGGGAAGCAAGGGACAATGGTCACCACCCCAAGGCCCCAAGTAACTGGCAGAGGCCACTTGGTGTGGAGCCTTGTGTGAGGTGGGGGAACCCCAGGTGGATGAAGCCCTGGCTGCCTGTGCAGACAACAGGATCCTGAGGGGCCATCAGTGCTTGTCAATGGGGCGCAGGGTCAGGGAGGCCAGGCGTCCCAGGGGTCCACGGCGTGCATTGGTGGCGAGCCGCTGCTGTGCCAGGAAGGACTGGGCGTGAGCGGGCGACCATTCTTCCCCGGCGCGCTGCTGCAGTGCCATGCCCTGGTGGAGGGGATTCTGTCAGGTGAGCCCAGGGACGGCCCCAACCTTCTGGCCCTGGGGGAGGACTCACCATATTATACCAGGCACTGATAAGCCGCCTCTCTTCTTGCTCGCGCTGACTTCGACTCTTCTCAAAGTCAATCTGCCAAGAAAGTGCTGTCAGGGGCCTGGCTCGGCGGCGGGCACGGGGTCACGGGCAATGGACAGGCCACTCACCTCCAGGTGACGGATGCGGACGTCCCGCTCCCGGAGCTGTGTCCGCAAGGACCGGAGATCGGAGGGCGCGGCCCCGGCGGGCCTGGGCTGCTTCGGCTCCATGGTCTGCATGACCTAGGATTTGGGGAGGACACCGTGGGGTGGGGGTGGAGCTGATGCCAGGGACTTAGGTGGAGAGCAAAT